CGAGGGAGAAGGGGGCTCGAGAGAGAGAGAGAGAGAGAGAGAGAGAGAGAGAGAGAGAGAGAGAGAGAGAGAGAGAGAGAGAGAGAGAGAGAGAGAGGAAAGGGTGCAAGTGGCTCTCAATTTGATTACGCACACCGCCTTGTATTAAACACAAATAGAGAGCCTTGAATTATGAAGCAATTAAATGTTATGAACATATTTGCGTCAAGGCTAAACGATATGTGCAGATTGTAATCGTATGCGGTTTTATAATTAATTATTTCTTTGAGACCTCGAGGGGAATCAATCGAGCGAAAACCAAAAACACAACAGCGATGATAGATAATCGACAGTTCAAGCAAATCTTATTGCTTTACACATACACGATCCAATACACGATATACACGTTCACCTGAATATATAGTAGATACTGCACACGGAAACTACATCTACTACAGACGCACGTATAGCTAGCTATTTATAGCAGTGGCACGATCACCACCAACAACGCGTTCAGCTATATAACGATCGGTATATATAACACATAGAAAACTATGTACAATAAATATACATCGTTGTATAAATACGCCGCTTAAATTATGCAGTTCGCGAGACGTTCGATTCGTGTGCGCATGCGTGCAGGTGCGCATTCGAAACCATGTAGGCCTACGCGTAGTTCGCTGCGACTTTTCTTGACCCTATCTTCTGTACGCGTATTTCGTATTGCGTTATTTTCTGCATGTACGCGTTTTTCGCTGCGTCTTTTCTCGACCCCTTCTTTTCGACCCCCCCTATTCGACTATCTTCTCCATAGCTGCTTTGCATTCTTGTCGAAGCCGGTAAATCCACTATCAATGACCTCCATCGCAGCTGCTCGGCGTACGATGCGATTGTACGAGATCGCACGCACGCGACCCCACCCCGTTAAAATCAACAAACAATATAGCGGTGTACCCGTTTGTGAAGTACTACTTAACCATGTAACACGTTTGTGCACCACGCACTGTTACCATGCACCATGTTTGTGAAGTACCACTGCAAAGGCGATGCTTTTAACCAGACGTTTACAGTCTGAGCTGTATGCGGTTACATACACCCGATAGATAGATAATTAAAAAATAATTAAACATGAATTATATATTTATATATATCACTTGGATTAATTTTGACGACTGGATTTCTCGCATCGCCGCTGTTTCCTATGACGCGTGACGTATACCGATATAAAAATGGCGGCCGTTTACAGCTTTCGTTACGCCATAGGACATCGGGCTGTTGTTAAAAATTGGATAATTTGATCACATGCAGCATTTCACAAATTGTCACGCGTCGATCGCATGAACATATAATAAGCGTTCGCGTGCTTAACATAATAGTGACTGGAAAAACATACGCTCCCTGAAGCAAAATAAAGATCAATATAAGTTATCAATAAATATTGATTTCCGTACATCGTCACGTAGCAGTGGAGTAGCCAGGATTAAATCGAAGGGGGGTGCGGGTGCATGTTGTTGGCATGTTTTATCGACTTGAAACAGTCCTGCTGGTTTAAATAAGGTAGCCTTCTAAATCTTACGGGGGGCGACGGCCCCCATCGCCCCCCTGGCTACGCCACTGTCACGTAGTACATTGCCACGACACGGCCTCGCGCGTACGCCTACAAAACTATATGGAATCCTACCAGCTTTCTACATGTAACGTGGATTGATATGAAATTTATATAACTTTAAACTTACCCGATGACTTACGTTCGATATATAACTGGAAGTAAGCTAACGGGGGCACGTCTGTGTGAGTGCGTGTGTGTGTGTGTGTGTGTGTGTGTGTGTGTGTGTGTGTGTGTGTGCGTGTGCATGTATGTGTGTGTGCACGCGCGTATGTAAATGTGCAGAGGGTGCGCATGCGCGCTCGCGTGTGTGCGTGTATGTGAGAAAGAATCTGAACATGCAGCTGAGGTTGAAGATGCGTGTGAAATGAGCATGTTTAAATATCAAGAGTACATAAAGATAATCTCTATTATGTACTCTTGTTAAATATGTATAGGCGGACCGCTACGTAGGTTCAAGTTGAACCGCTAACACAGCCTAGTACATTTTATTTTAATCGTGACAATTACATACACGTTCCATATTTCCTTATTATACATTTTTACAAGAGCATATAAAGAATGATTATATTTATACGCTTATACGATTCTTCTACGTTCTTCTTATACGCTTATATGCCTTCTTTATACGCTCTTGATTTTTATATTACACGAGTATAGATAACTTATGAGTAGATTTTTGACACGGCCTTTAATTAGACGTAAATAATAAATAAGGGGTCTCAGACTAGATGTTAAATAAATGCTCGTGTTCCAACAACCAACACTCGACTTCAATCATCGACGATCTATATATATATATATATATATATATACATATAAAGGGATTTCCGTCATTTTCACAGACAGGGAGTATTTGTCTTTGCACTCTACGTAATATCTAGGTAGAAGGACACTCTAACAATCTAACCCCCAGCGATAACGTGCCAAGATTCCGCTGGGATATCGTTCTAGACTGGCTCTATGGACGTAAGTCCGGCGCATGCACCGCTCACTGTAAATGACATTGGAACCAGTCCAGCTTGACACCGTGTGTGGACGTCGTGTGTTTCTACACGTCGCGTACACGTATCGTGTAGAAATATTTCACTATCTCTCCCTCTCTCTCCACCGAACGTTCTGTTTACTTCCTGGCTGTCGTACTACTTTAGGGGACGTTTGTCCTCCAGCCCGTTTCCCCTCGTATTTTACGTCGAGGTCAACGGCAGATATTACACGCCTCGGGAGATAGCGGAGAAGATAGCGGAGGGAGTAGCGAACGGACGTTCATGAAACGCGCCCCTGGAATAAGACTCCCCGAGAGTCACGTGAGGTCCTGTGAGTTACTGTTGCTAGGAGAGATTTCCGGGACTATGATTCCTCGGCTATCGAAAGATCCGATGGTCAATGGGAAGAACCAAGAGTAGATAATAACACATTGTGTTATTATCTACTCTTGGAAGAACCTATACCTGTATGTCTATCAGAAGAATATGTGCGATCATGCGGCGTGAGTGCGTGGGAGACAGCTGCTGCTAATAGAACTGGTGTTATACACGTAGTTCGCAGTACACGCTTCATACTGCATGAAATATTTATTATTGACAGAGCGCGCGCATATTAGTCGACCAGTAGCTAGTGGCGGAACCATTCGATCCAATATTGCGTCCGCAAGAGTTTTAAAGACTATAGGACCCCACGACCACAGGCGTTTGGAGCGTTTCAATAAAATATAATGCTACATAAATACGAAATCTATTTACTACCAAAGTCTTAATACTCTATTTACTACCAAATTTAATACTCTATTTCACCTATTATTGCCGACAATTTCCTGCAAATGCCGTCCAAATGCTCATCTGCAACAATTTGAACAAACGCTGGCTGCCGCCATGGCTGCCGCTGCACACTGACACATAAATATATAGACTCACATTAGATTTCGTATTTATTTAGCATTATATTTTATTGAAACGCTTCAAGTGCCTGTGCCCACGACAACGTGTCGGGTATGATAGTGCGTGAAAGTGTTCGAAGAATTCGCGTGAAAGTGGCCATAGTTTCGTTACTTTCGTCTTTTCTTGCGCGCGTAGAGGACATATTTCTACGTTATGCTATAGGATTCCCCTAAACAAAATCTATTCGAAAACTCTAAAGATCTCATCTTAGAGTCAAAAGACTCTATTCACCGTTAAAATATGAATAACTATTGCGGTACATTAGCATGCGACATTAATTGGCTATCGTAGGCCTATATGTATGTGTGTGTGGGTGTGGATGATAACAATATCCACTGCCATGTACAAGGCGAGTCATCAATACACATGTACGTATATCTATATATAATAATATACACGGAAGACCGCATTCGCTTAGCCACAGCGAATATAGCACTTCCCAACGGCGATAGTTGATTCAGTCATTAATCAGTTTGATCACAGTCGTATGTTCGGAACAAAATGGCGCCGACGTTACACAATCGTGTACTTGTCCGTGTAGCCACGGTGCGCGTCGTCGTCGCTAGGGGCGCTGTTGACGCTGATGACGATCTTAGGAGAGCCATCACATTGGCTGTCGTTGGCACCACTGCTGCTGGAAGTGGAAGACATGACGACAGAGTGTGAGACGGGGCCGGGGTTAGTCAAGCTGATAGGGTCTATGTCTCCCTGGGTACTGCCGGAACGTACCCTGGGTACGGTCCGGTATACCGGAACGTACCCTGGTAACTATCTGATCTGGTTAGGGTTAGGGTTACGGTTAGGGTTAGGGATTAGGCGTAGGCGACTCCCTAGACTCGTTAGTGGAGTAGGCGGGGTACGGTCCGGCATATTAGATAGTACCAGGGTACGTTCCGGCAGTACCCAGGGAGACATAGACCCTGGCAGCGTTAGTCAAAAAGACGTTAAAAATAAATAAGACGCAGTGACGAAATTGTAATGTGTAATTGTATTTGTAACGTGTTATTATATGGTATACTCGATTATTATTATTTAGAGAGAAAGGGTAGAATTACACCTGATGATTGCAAAAAAAGAGAGGGCGAGAGAGAATGCAAGAAAAAGAGAGAGAGGGGGGAGAGGTAAGAGATAGATGAGAGGAGAGCGAAGACAGCCAGAGAGACAGAGAGAGAGAGGAACATATGCGACAGCTCACCAAAGGCGGCCATCTTGAATCGCGACCGTCACGCTACCTTTCGGAGCGCTGCTGCAGCGTCTGCGCTGCTCCGTGCGCGCTCCCGCCATTATCCGCCGTCTGCAACGCCTCGACGCGCTCCGGCGAGTCGATGTCCGAGTACGCATGCGCGGCGGGCGGAGAGTAAGGACTCGTGGCTTCGGACGGACTGGGAGTGACCTCGTAGTCGCTGGAGGAGGAGAACTCCTGCTGCCTGCTGTTACGCCTCGTCTGCTGTCTGTAGGTGAAACACAAGAACAGCAGTTTATAGCTCGTCTGCTGTCTGTGGGAGAA